ATAATTACTGGGTAAATAATTTTATGGTTGGGGGTCACCACAACATGAGGAACTGTATTAAAGGGTCACGGCATTAGGAAGCTTGAGAACCACTGGCCTAATGTATCAGACATGCATACTTAACCACTTGCTTACTAGGCACTTCTACCCCCTTCATGCCAAGGCCAATTTTCAGCTTTCAGTGCTGCTGCATTTGAATGACAACTGCGCGGTCATGCAACATTGTACCCATACAAACTTTTTAGCATTTGTTTCACACAATTAGAGCTTTCTTTTGGCGGTATTTAATCACCACTGGGGTTTTTATTTTTGAACTATAAACAAAAAAAAAGAACAAAACATTTAAAAAAAAAGTTTTTCTTTGTTTCTATTATAAAATTTTGCAAACAGGTAATTTTGCTCCTTCACTGATGTGCATTGATGAGGCTGCACTGATAGGCAGCACTGATAGGCGGCACTGATGAGGTGGCATAGATAGGCAGCATTGATGGGCACTGATAGGCTGCACTGATGGGCACTGATGAGGTGGCATAGATAGGCAGCACTGATGGGCACTGATGAGGTGGCATGGATAGGCAGCACTGATGGGCACTGACAGGCAGCACTGATGAGGTGACATAGATAGTCAGCACTGATGGACACTAATAGGCTGCACTGATGGGCACTGATGAGGTGGCATAGATAGGCAGCACTGATGGGTACTTATAGGCTGCACTGATGGACACTGATGAGGTAGCATGGATAGGCAGGACTTATGGGCACTGATAGGCTGCACTGATGAGGTGTCACTAATGAGGTGGCACTGGTGGGCACTGATAATGCTGCACTGATATGAAGCAATGATGGGCACTGGTAGGCAGCACTGCTGGGCGGCAATGAATAGAGGCACTGCTGGGCCGCACTGCTGGGCACTGATAGGCTGCACTGCTGATCAGGGCGCTGATCATCAGTGCCCTGATTATCAGTGCAGATGTCCACAGTGACATTTGCCGGTTATCGGCAGTACTTTCCTCACGCTGTGACAGTGTATGGAAAGTGCTGCCGATAACCGGCAACTGTATTTACTTTGTGATCTGCGGTGTCATTAGACACAGCTGATCACGTGGTAAAAGGCCACTGTGATTGGCGTTTTACCTCGTCATATGATCAGCTTTGTCCATAGGACACAGCAATCACTGACAGTGCCAAATGCGTGCCGCTGGGGGCACATTCTGAGAGGACATCATATGACGCCCTCCCAGAACTGGACAACCGCGCTGTAGCAGTCTTTTGGATACAGCATGGTTGTAAAGTGGTTAAGCTGCCCATACACTAGTAGAATTTCAGTATAAATTTTTTGTTTAAAGAACGTTCGTTCAATTTTCTAATCATTAGACGGTGTCCATTCAACATTCGTTTTCAACTGAAAATTTGAAGAGTAATGAAAAAAATTACGAACAAATTAATTTCTAACAGTGAATGTGGTTTCCATTTGGGAAATAACATTTATTCCAAAATTGAATGTTAAAATCAAAGGAAATATTTAAATAAATACTTTTGAACTACATTTATCAAGTCATCAAATGTACTGAGAATTTTTGTACAAATGTTTTCTACAAATATTTGTAGGAACATTTGTTCAAAAATCTACTGGCGTATAGCCAGCTATACAGATCATACCTGGAGTTCAGTTTTAATAACGAATTAATAAGTTAAAAATATATATTTTTTATATGTATGCTGTCTTGTTCTATACATTTGCAAGGCAATTACTTATTGATAATTTCAGATAGTTAAGATTAGCTGCTATATAGATTATTTTGTAATTTTTTTAACTATAGTTCTAAGTGGATATGAAATATGCTGCCAATCTGCAAGATTTTTATGGGACCAAATACAGTTTGTAAGGGTGTTGGCTCAGGGTTAGCATGTTAGCTGCCTATTTGTAATGCATTTGCAATGTGTTCCAGTGCATTTTTTTTTTTACCATTTTTAGTTTCCCAGAATTTATGTTCATTTACAAATGTTCCTTTTTTTTTAAAGTGTTGTAACTGAATGCATTAGTGTGAGATAGGGTGATTAGAGAACATTGATTTTTATTGTGCATGCGTTGGGGATGTGTTTAAAAAATGCATCTGAAAGCATCTGGTGTGGTGAGGCCCTGAAAAGCAATGAAAACACCCCAAAGATCACTCTTTGCTGCCTGCAGAAAGTAACAAGCCCCCTTAGTGCAGAATTCCATGGGCAGCTCCTTGGGACAGTGCTGCATAGCTGGGAGCCTTCGGCCAGCTCCCATTACACTACAATAATGCTGAGGCAGCCACTTGTCCTTCTGCACTGGAACCCCTGCTATGAACCCGATCTAGAGTATGTAAACTGAGCTGGCACAGCACGCTCTGTAACGTGGCAATAACTACTCACCAGCTACCAATGCAAAAAACAAATGTATATGACATGTAAGCTGCTCCTAAATCTCACGCAGACCTGCTTACACATTTTGCAGTTTCATTACCTTTCTACTAGAACATAAAGAACTAGTCAAACAAGATGGTAAACTCTATCTAGGAAACTCTGCAAAAGTCAGAAACTTGATTTACCTTAAAATGTTACTAAACCCACAACAGTAAAATCAATCTGTATATGCGGTAAAGCATGCTTGTTATACTCACTGTGGAACCTAAGGGGTTAATCCTCTGCATTGTGTTTGAACCTGACTTCTCTGATCCTCCCCTTCTTCCAGTGTCCCCCTCTTTTCTCCTGATAAGTCATATTGTGTGGAGTCACTCTGCATATGCTCAGTTTTGTGTGTATTGCTACAGAGGTTTTTTTCTTGGGAGAGTGCATGTGATCAGCACAGGGGCAATCAGCACAGTGCAGACAGAGGTGAGGGGTTCTGCATCTTCCTAGAGAAAAATGAAAACTCCTCCTACAAGCTTTAACTAGTGCTCTGCTGGACACTGATAGAAGTCACAAGACTGCTCTAACTGCTGATGAGAAAAGGTATTTAGCAGTTTATATTTACTAAAATAATTGCATTTCCATGTTCTGTGTACTGTGGGAGATCAGATATAACAAATGCAGGATCCTGGGTATAGTAACACTTTAAAGGGTATGTTACCCCAACATTTCATATTTCTGATATGTGTCTGTGTCACCATGTACTTGTGTTAAAAAAAGTATCTTGTTCTCTTTGTATTTCCTCCTTTGTATCAAAAACCTGGTGATGCTGCCAGTCCCCCTGCTATCCTACTTGAAACTGCCCACGCCAGTGCATATAAGCATATCCATCCCAGTGTGGGCAGTTTTCATCTTTGCATTCTATTTAGGAGTGCAGCCTGCCTGTACTCCAGTGGTCAGGCTTGCACTAACACGCACCTCTACACAGCTATTCACTATGAAGATCTTTGTATTGCTATTTCTCTACCTCCTGCTGACATGCCCCATGCACAGGCTTCATTGGGAAAATCAGTGTACTGCTGTCTCCCTGCCTCCTGCTGACATGCCCCATTCACAGCCTTCACTGGGAAAATCAGTGTACTGCTGTGTGCTGCTACCCCTGTGTGATCTCAATGGGGAGATCAGTGTTCTGCTGTTCTCTGCCTCCTGCTGACACACACCCTGTATAGCTCCTCACTGGGAAAATTAGAGTACTGCTGTTCTCTGCCTCCTGCTGACAGACACCCTGCATAGCTCCTCACTGGGGAAATCAGTTTACTGCTGTTCTCTGCCTCATGATGACACACCCCTCTGTACAACTTTCACTGGGAAGATCAGTGTACTGCTGTTTTTCTGCTTCCTGCTGACACGCCCCCTGCATATTTTTCACTGGGAAGATTAGTGTACTGCTGTTTCTCTGCCTCCTGCTGACAGACCCCCTGCATATTTTTCACTGGGAAGATTAGTGTACTGCTGTTCTCTGCCTCCTGCTGACAGACCCCCTGCATATTTTTCACTGGGAAGATTAGTGTACTGCTGTTCTCTGCCTCCTGCTGACAGACCCCCTCCATAGCTCCTCACTGGGGAAATCAGTGTACTGCTGTTCTCTGCCTCCTGATGACACACCGCTCTGCACAACTTTCACTGGAAAGGTTGGTGTACTGCTGTTTTCCTGCTTCCTGCTGACACACCCCCTGCATATTTTTCACTGGGAAGATTAGTGTACTGCTGTTTCTCTGCCTCCTGCTGACATGGCCCCTGCACAGCTCCTCGCTGAGAAGATCAGTGTTCTGCTGTTTCTCTGCCTCCTACGGACAGCTCTCTCAGTGTATTTCTGTCTGTGCATTTTACAAAGGACTCTACCTATGCTCCGTTCAAGCTGTTGCACCCCCTTCCCCACCATTGTCTCCACTCACACCTCTCTAAGCCCCTTATGCAACTGAGAAAAGGGGCCATGTGATCACTTATCAAAAAAGAAAAATGTATTTAGAATTTACATACAGTGTATAGTATATTTATTTTGCCTTGTATTTCTATATAAACAGAATGTGCTATCTTACAAGGTAAGGTTGAAACATACTTCAGGAAGATAATAAAGATAGGTAATAAAAGACACACATAAATGGATAAATGGATGCTCTGTATTCATATAATTACAAGTGCTTGTTTAAATGCATCGAGTGGAAGTACTTGAATTTGACTTGATTATAGCCTCTTATTCTCAGAAGGATAGGCAGCAATGGCAGCCAAACAGGTCTCCTGCATGGAAATAAGCTGGACAGGTACAAGCTGACATGTGGAGTGAGCAGAAGGATGAGATTATCAGTCTCCTGTTGCTCTTTCTCTGTCCAATTAGCAGAGTGGTATACTGGGAAGATGTCCAGTACCGGGGGTTACGGAACACGATAAAAACGCATTTTGGAGCTCAAAGCTCCCCCTTCATCAGGGAGAAAAACATTCAGGTGCTAACGTGACAGTTCCTAAAATTTATGGCTGCTGATGAAGAGTCAGTTTTGAGCCCCCAAAACGCATTGGCTTTCTACCTTTGTCACATGTTCAATAAAAATCCTTCTTTTGAACGTATTCAACTGTTGTAATGCTCTCCTCTTTCCAAAACTCTACAGCAAGGGTATCAGACTGGCGGCAGCTGTTGCAAAACTACAAGTCCCATCATGCCCCTGCCTTTGGGAGTCATACTTGTAACTGTCAATCTTGCAATGCCTCATGGGACTTGTAGTTTGGCAATAGGTGGAGGGCTGCCAGTTTGACACCCATGCTCTACAGATGTCTGCAGGGACCTACCTCTGAGTTGCCTCCAAAAAAGGTTTTGATTTTGGACCACTGATTCTCATGTACTCTGCACATCCACACCTTCACAATACACTTCTACAATTAATGGGGTGAGGCAAATACACATGGAGTGTGTTTCTTCACTATAAGGGCTCATGCACACCATGGCTTGGGGTAACGGGTGCATGACCGCATGCTTTGCAATGCATGTTAGTTCCATTGTTGCAATGCAGACCAATTTAATCAGAAGGGCATTCCAACACACTTGGTGGGAACACCCTTACATGCGTTGTGGTGTGGGGGGGCTACCAAAATGTAGTGCATGCGCCATTTCTGGGCAGTGCACTATAACGCACATTAGGCTTCAGATCTGTACATGTCGGGAATGTGCACAAAATCACCTTTATTAGACACGCAACAGTGCCATTAATTGTTAATGGAACCCCCACACATCTGCTAATGCTTGTGTTTTCGTGGCACCAAACAGCATGTTGTCGCAGCACCATGCGGTTCAGTGTCGCACCTTTGTGTACTTAGATGTTTGTCTCACGCTCAGTGTAATCCAGAGTGGATGGTAGGGTCTGCTCCCAGAACCTGTTCAACTTGTCTCTTTGCTTGATGCATTGCGAGTCAGATTTAAACCTTCAGGGCTGCTATACACCATTCCCAATGCGATCCCTATGCTTTCTTGAGTGGAGCATTTTGACAGCCCATTCAACTGAATAGACTGCAAAATGCACTGGACTGTGCAAAAAGTAGTGTTTGCATGACTTTTAAAAAGGCACTGCACCAAACTGAATGGTACTGCAGTACAATGCAATTTGGTGCCTGCAAATGCACTGTGTTTGTGATCTATGTTTGGGGTGTCGTTAAAGTTTTACTAAACACGCAACAGTAAAATCAGTCTGTATACATCAGGGGTGTCAAACTGGCGGCCCTCCAGCTGTTGCAAAACTACAAGTCCCATCATGCCTCTGCATTTGGAAGTCATGCTGGTAACTGTCAATCTTGCAATGCCTCAGGGGACTTTGGCAACAGCTGGAGGGCCGCCAGTTTGACACCCGTGGTATACACAGTAAAGCATGCTCACTGTGGAACCTAAGGGGTTAATCCTCTGCATTGGGTAAAAAGGCCGTTTGATCCTGTCTTCTCTGCCCCTCCTCTTGTTCAAATGTCCACGTCTAATCTCTTGATAAGACAGACTGAATCTGTAGCCATTCTGCACATGCTCAGTTTAGTGTGAGGGTTTTTTTTTATCTTGAGAGAGTGCATGTGATCAGCACAGGGCCAATCAGCACTGTCCAGAAAGGGGTCCTGCAATCTCATAGTACAATGATAGGAGAATGAAAACTCCTCCTACAAGGTTTAACTAGTGCTCAGCTGAACGCTGATAGAAGTCACAAGACTGCTCTAACTGCTGCTGAGAAAAGGTATTTAGCAGTTTATATTTACTAAAATAATTGCACTTCCATGTTCTGTGTACTGTGGGAGACCAGATATAGTGAATGCAGGGTCCAGGATTTAGTAACACTTGAACAATACACTGGCAACCACATGCAGAATGCAATGGCAGCACTTTCGAACCTGGTGCCGGAAACTTTCTGCCATTGTGTTCTGGTGTGAACTGGCCTTCAAGGCAGGCTTAAAGTGACTGGTGGGCATGTTGGAGAACCTCTCTCCTGCTTTAAACAGATTAGTAAATTGAGGCCAGCAAGTGGCGGCTCTTAGTGTTCTTCTCTGTACAGGTTTGAGCTGCCAACCTTCTAGGTGTGGTCACCTGTCAATGCACATTACTTCTCCAAAACACAACTTTTTCATATCCTTTACAATACACTGCTAAAGAATATAGGGGGGATCATACTGAATTGTCCCAGACATCCGGTCTCCACACCAAAAATGCTGCTGTTTGCACCAGATTCATGTACCTGCCAGAGACAGGTACATAAATCTGTCGGAGGCCGGAACTGAGGTTGTAGTGTCCATCCTGGATACTTCCTCTTCAGTGTGCTCCCTTCCCAGGTAATGCGTCTGACACACTGGCAGGCACGTGGCTGAGACGTTGTGTAGTCGGGCGGGCAAAGCCCACACACCTCCATGCAAAGAAATATTAACCTCCCTAACGCTCTGATTATGTCCATATTTCTGTTCTCAAAGCATTACATTTTCTTGCATGGAAATATGTATTTTTTTTATTGTAGGCCTGTAATTTTTAGGAATAACTCACTGAAATCTGTCCGAACAAGAGTCTAGTAAACATCCGGGTATGTTAACATTTTAAACACGAAATCATAAATTATAATTTAATAAATAATCATAAAAAATAATAATATAATAATATAAATTTATTTCAATAATGTAATCAAACCAAAAACACTGAAATTTTAAATATAGCGCCAAGTTCGCACATCACTGAGCAGTCGCAAAATTGATTTCAGTGTCTGATGAGGAATTTCCCCACAAATCATTATCACTCAATTCTGCAAGTAGTTCTAATTTACTATCGCTGTTCTCTAGCTGGTCTAAAACCGCTTTTGACCTAAAGGGACGCTTTTTGGACACCATGGACGTTTCTCAGTTTCCAGACAGAAAGAACAGTAAAAATGCAGGCAGGGCACAGGACAAAGCAGTAGGGACAAAATGTATGTGAAATGGTTTGATACAGTAATGTTTTACTATGTGATTTTAGTGTATTGAGTTAATGTCACCATATGTCATTTTCAAATTTCCCGCTGTTCTGTCCCCCGTACGTCCCGACGGAACCCAGATGACAGATGCCGGCATCCGCTAGATTACACTGCCGGGGACACTGCAGGGGGGACATCGCGGGAGCGCAGGACAAGGTAAGTGACCGAGGGATCCCAGAGCAGCGCCGCATGGTAAGCCTGAGTGTAGCTCGGGGTTACCGCTTTTGGTACTGAAACTTTACCCCGAGCTACACACGGGAATACCGCCAGGGGGGTTAAAGGAAAAGCAAAATAAGTCAACTTGTGTGATAGCCTGAAAACCTGCAAGTAAAATTATATTTTTTTCTTACCTGTATAGTGGACCACACATGTCTGGCCCTTCTTGGGAAAAGTCCTGCCTGTTATGAAAAATAAAAACATAATCAGAATGTACAAATTATTTCAACATACAAAACTTTTTCACATAATAAAGAATGTTCAGCAAATGCCTTAATGTGGTTCTATAGGCTCAAGGCTTTTTCTCTTCATGTATTTTATGCATGAAGGTAAAAAACATTCTGTGTGTAGCAGCCCCCCCCCCCAGTACTTACCTGAACCCCATCCTGATCTAGCGATATCCATGAAAGCTTTGGTTTTTTTTGGGACTCTCAGACCTGATTGGCTGAGGCAGCATCAGCATCCATTGGCTCCCGCTGCTGTCAATCACAGCCAGTGAGCTAATCACGAGGGGGGGGCGGGGCCTAGCCATGGCTCTATGTGTCCATGAACAGGCAGAGCCACAGCTTTCTCGGGTGCCCCCATAACAAGCTGCTTGCAGTGGGGTCACCCGACAGGAGGGAGGGGCCAGGAGCACTGGAGGGGGACCCGAGAAGAGGAGAATCCGAGCTGCTCTGTGCCAAACCACTGCACACAGCAGGTAAGTATGACATGTTTGCTATAAAAAAAAAAAACCAAGACTTTAGTATCCTTTTAAAGATTACCTAATATAAGTGTTGACTTTGTGGGTTTTGGATAATAGGGTTTTAACCATGCTTGTTTTTTTTCTATACCTCTCTGGGGACATTTACCCTTTGTTGCCCTAGTGACCATTCATGCTAGCAATGGAAGTGAGGGAAAATCTTACATTTTTACTTTTCACCAGTACAGAAATATAAGGAGAGTTTTTCAATAAGTCCAAATGTTTCGGTGACAACTGTCCATGAAAGGATTTCCCTCACTTTTGAAAGATTTCTCTCACCTCTTCTGCTGTGTGCACAAAGCAGGGAAATCTACCTGGCGAGGACACAGCCACAGCGTAAGGGTAAGTGGATGGAACTATAGCATGCAGGGGGCGGGACAAGCTTTTGACACTCCTGGAAGTGTCAAATAGTGAAGAGCCTGAAATAGGTGCTTGTTATTAGTCACCTACATTATTACAGCTCCAAGATTATGTAAAAACTACCCACGTAGTGGAGCTTTCCCCACATTGCAAGGGTTGAAATTGAAGTTTAGTGAGAAAAAACAGCTTCGGGAATCATACTTACCATGAAGTGTGCCCTGTCTTCTGGTGGCTGTTGTGTGTTACTGTTTCACATTGGGTTCAGCATGTGTAAGAACAAACTCTCACAAAGCATTTACCGAGCTTTCAGTAAGTTTTGATTGAGCCCAATCCCGATCCAGCCATGGCCATGAGAGCAGTGTCTCTCCCGTGTCTCTCCCTCGTCATTGGCTGAGACACAGCAGTGGGAGTTATTGGCTAGTGAAAAAGAAGTAGGCGGCGGGGCCAATCCACATTCTGTGTGTCTTATGGACACACAGAGCTGGTTCTGGAGCGAGCATGTACAAGTGCCCCCAGAGCAAGCTGCTTGCACTCAGTGGGGGGTAGGAGCAAGGGGCGCCAGTGGGGGACCCAAAAAAAGGAGGATTGGGGCTGTTTATTTATTTTTATTTTTTTTAAGCTGAACCTTTAGTATCACATTAAACACAGACCCTTTTGGAAGTGCTGGCTGTCACTTTAAACAAGCTGCTTTGGCATGCTTTCATCGGGCTTCGGGTAGTACTGAAGCCTGCTAGCAGCTTGTTTTAAAGTGACAAGCAGACTTCCATAAAGGTGTGTGTTTAACATTTACAAACTGGAGCTGAATGGTACTTTAAAAGCTGCAAAAGCTTGCTAAAAGCTCTCCAAATGCTTTGTAAAAGCTTGTTATTCATATACAAGAAGAAACCCGTGTGAAACACGCTTGAAGTTCAAAGCTCCAAAGCACTTGAGGAGCAAAAATCAATTACTCTCAATGGAGATGGTCCATGTCTAAACTCCAAGTCACCTGGAGCCAAACGCCTGAAGCTCCAACAAGTTTTGGAGCTTTTTTTGTAGTTCAAATTGGGCAGATTTGCACATTTTGGACCATTTTTGTTCCTATAGAAATTAATAAAAATGTGCACGTTTTTGCGCATTTTGTTGCACGTTTTTGCCCCTAACCTTAACCCTATCCCCTAATTCTAACCCTAACCTATCCTTAACTCTAACCCCTTATCCCAACCAAAAAAAAGAATACAGTATTTTCTGGCGTATAAGACTACTTTTTATACTTAAAAATATACCCCAAAAATTGGGGGTCGTCTTATACGCGGGGTATAAAATGTGAACCTTGAGTTTGTTTGGGTCAAGCTGGCTGGATGTGCAGTAATGTACATACAGTATACCGTGCTGAGCCAAGCTGGCTCAAAACAAATGTCCCTATGACAGATTAATCTGTCAGCCCGCTGGATGTGCGGTATATACAGTATACTGCGCTGAGCCAAGCGGTTTCAAAACGTACCGGTACGTCCCTACGGTAATCAGACTGCTGGATGCGGGTATGTACGGTAGCTGCGGCTACATACAGTATACACTGGGCCAATCACAGCGAGTGATGTATTCTACGAATGAATACAAAGCCTGCTCGGATTGGCTGAGTCAGAGAGGTGGGCTGATGATGTCACAACCTCAGCCAATCCGAGCAGGCTTTGTATTCATTAGCAGAATACATCGCTCGCCGTGATTGGCCCAGTGTATACTGTATGTAGCCGCAGCTACTGTACATACACGCATCCAGCGGTCTGATTACCGTAGGGACGTACCGGTACATTTTGAAACAGCTTGGCTCAGTATACTGTATATACCGCACATCCAGCGGCCTGGCACATTAATCTGTCATAGGGACATTTGTTTTGAGCCAGCTTGGCTCAGCGCAGTATACTGTATGTACATTACTGCACATCCAGCGGGCTGTATATATACTGTATACTGTATGTAACCGAAGCTACCGTATTACTGCACATCCAGCGGTAACCATCTGATTTGGAATTTGATCCATATGATGACTGTCTTACAAATGTATCACAAGATGTCATTCATGAACTTATGTCAGAGGATGAACATGATGAGGATTTTGAAGGATTTTAAGTACCAGTAAGTCATAACCATTTCAATTAAAAAAATCTGATGTTTTTAAATGGTGTTGCCTCTTAAGGGGGGTAGTCTTATACGCGAGTATAGCCCAAAACCTATGTTTTAACTGGAAAAGTAGGGGGTCATCTTATACACCCAATCGCCTTATATGCCGGAAAATACGGTATATATAATTAAAAAAGGAATAAAAGCTGATGGAAAAGCTAAAAAAGCTGAAAAACCTACCGTAGCAATAAATGATACAACAGATAATATGTTTCTCTATTGGCTAATAAAAAAATGCCAAAGCTCTAAAAATGCTGGTTAAAAATGCGGAAAAAAAAATTGCAAAAAATCATTTCTCTACTTATATTTTACACATATGAAGTGCAGCTAATGGTTTTATAGGGCTGGGCAAGTTTCTTCTTGTATCTTATATACAGCTGTTTTTTCAAATGCTTATCTCCACATGTACCCCCATTCACTGGCAGACAAAATATAGAAAGTATGAAAAACAAGAGGGTTGTTTGATGAGCAATTACAATGTTATGGTCACAAAGGACATATTTTAACAATTCTCACCAAACATTCACTGGTGGTGAATCAATCACTGTCATGTTTAACACATGCACCTGGATGATTCACCTGCAGAGAATGTTTCATGAATGTCAGATTGACTGCTGAATAAATGTCCCTAAAATATCAGGGATGTGGAGATTTAAAAAAAAAAAAATTTATCAGGGTCCCAATCTACTTGTCCCTCATGACAATCTACTTGTCCTGATAAAAAAAAAATATGAAGGGTGGATGTTTTTTATTAGGCATAGGTGCTTTTAGGACGGTCTGGGGCTTTTAAAAACGAAAGGGGATTTTGGCTCCATTCACACTTGTGTGACTTCAAAATCGTGCAATTTTCATTGCGACTTTATGCAACTTTGATGCGACTTTGGCATGACCAAGGATGATTGTTTGTGCTGTACAAAGTCACACACAAGTCATATGTATAACATTCAGGTGCGTTTTTCATGCAACTTTGGGGGGGTTTACATTGAAGTCAATGGCCCTCAAATTGAACCAAATAGTGCAGGTGCTACTTTCAAGTAACTGCGACTTGAAGTAGCACAGGAATGAATGGTACTCATTGGGAAATATGGGGTTCGACTTGTCATGCGAGTTTAGACCCCAAAGTCAATGGGAGGCGTTTTTACATTGAAATCAATGGAAGGTGTTTTTACATTGAAGTCAATGGGATGCGTTTTTGCATTGAAGTAAATAGGAGGCGATTTTGCATTGAAATCAATGGGACGTGATTTTGCATTGAAGTCAATGGGAGGCATTTGTGAAGAATGAGCTGGCAAAATTGCACCTGTACTGAAATCGCACAGGAATGGTATTCACAAAGAAGCATTGCAATTTCAGTACACATATGTGTGAACCCAGGCTAAAGAAGCTGCTTGCCCGAAATAGGGCTAAGTGTAAAAAAACAAAAAAAAAAAAAACCTGCCCAGCGCCTGGAACTGCATCCCTGCTAAAAACATTTTTTACATTTTGAAATTAAGGAAGAACATCTTGTTTTTACAGGTTGGATGAGCATTAGTAGTTTGCAAAACGTAAGATGAGCTTGATTAGTGTAAAGGAAACCTACAGCAGTTTCTGGTCAATTTTATTTATGTTTTATAACATACAATAACTGAAATCCTTCACTGCTACATGGAGTATGTAGCATGT